AAGACAAGAAAAGGGGATCAAAGGGATACAAATTGGAAAAGGAGAAATCAAACTTACAATATTTGCAGATGATATGAGAGTCTCTATAAGTGACCCGAAAAATTCTACCAGGGATTTCCTACAGCTTATAAACTCCTTCAGCAAAGTAGCAGGATACAAAATAATTCAAAAACATGTAGCTCTACTATATACAGATGATAAATGCGATGAGAAAAAAAATCAGAGAAACATCACCCTTCACAATATCCACAAGGAATATAAAGTGGTAATGCTAACCAAAAAAGTGAAAAACCTGTACAGTAAGAACTTTAAGTCTTTAAAGAAAGAAATTAAATAAGATACCAGAACATGGAAAGATTTCCCATGCTCTTGGATAGGTACAATCAACATATTAAAATTGGCAATCTTGCCAAAAGTATTCTACAGATTCAATGCAATCTCCATCAAAATCACAACAAAATCCTCACAGATCTTGAAAGAACAATACTCAACTTTATATAGAAAAATAAAAAACCCAGTACAGCTGAAACAACTCTGGACAATTAAGGTAATTCTGGAGGCATCACCATGTCTGACTTCAAGCTCTCTTATAGAGCTTTAGTTCTGAAAACAGCTTGGTATTGGCACAAAAATAGACAGATAGACCAATGGTACTGAATTGAAAACCCTGATATTAACCCACACATGTATGAACACCTGATTTTTGACAAAGAAGTGAAATCTATACAACGGAAAAAGAAAGTATCTTCAACAAACGGTGCTGGTACAACTGGATTCAGACATTCAGACAACTGCAGATAGATCCGTAACTGTCACCATGCACCAAACTAATGTCCAAATGGATCAAAGATCACAACATAAATCCAGTAACACTGAATCATCTAGAAGAGAAAGTTGGAGATACCCTTGAACTAATTGGTACAGGAAACTGCTTCCTGAGCATTACATTAGTAGCACAGACAATAAGCTCTACAATTAATAAATGGGACCTCCTGAAACTAGGAAGCTTCTGTAAGGCAAAGGATACAGTCAGTAAGACAAAAAGACAGCCCACAGCCTGGGAAAAGATCTTAACCAACCCCACATCTGACAGAGGACTGATTTCCAAAATATACAAAGAACTCAAGAAGCTTGCTACGAAACCCAAAACAATGAAATTAAAAAGTGGGTTGCAGAGCTAAATAGAGAATTCTCAACAGAAAAATCTGAAATTTATGAAAGACACTTAAGAAAGTGCTCAAATCCTTGGCCATCAGAGTAATGCAACTCAAAACAACTCAGAGATAATATCTTACACTGGACAGAATGGCTAAAATAAAAAACACCAATGACAATCTATGCTGGAAAGGATGTGGAGAAAAAGAAACACTGCTCCATTGTTGGTGGGAGTGCAATCCTGTAAGACCACTTTGCAAATCAGTGTGGTGGTTGCTCACAAAAATGGGAATTAGTCTACCTCAAGATCCAGCAATTCCTCTCTTGAGCATATACCCTAATAATGCATGTGCATACCCCAAGGATATAGGTTCAACCATGTTCATAGTAGCATTGTTTGTAATAGCCAGAACCTGGAAGCAACCTAGATGCTAGATGCCCCTCAACTGAAGAATGGATAGAGAAAATGTGGTACATGAATACAATGGAGTACTAGTCAGCAGAAAACAGCAAAGGAATATAGAAAATTGCAGGCAAATGGATGGAAGGAGAAGAAACCCTCCTGAGTGAGGTAACCCCGTCACAAAAAACAAACATGGTATGTACTCACTCATATATGAATTTTAGACGTAGAGAAAAGAATTACCAGCCTCTTCACAAAAGGAACTAGGAAACAAGGACTCAAACGGAAA